AGTATGTATATTAACACGCATATCTGCTGAGCAAACATGCAGAAATGCCACTGTTAATAACTTTTAACTAGTTATTTTCTACACTGATAAAGTAAGCATATATGTATACACAAAGAAACAGCATTTTTTATACAGACTTCATTTCCTTATAACTCAAAGTATTTAAAGCCATTAATTATGACCTGAAAAACTGCAAATGATTAATAAGGTGAGACACAGAGAGTGATAAATTATTTGCACAAGGTTAGGGAAAAAATCCATAGCATTATAAGGACATCCTATAAGATTTCTTGTTTCCTAGTTTTATTCCTTAAAAAATTTTTTCTAAGAGATTGATGGCAATTAGTCTCCATGGAACCATGACACAATTTAATGAATCATACAACAGGAAAAGCCTATCTCTGAAAAAAAATGTCTTTCCTGTTTCAATAGTATATTTGTAATGTACAGTGACACGAGAAGACCGGAAAAAGGGACAGTTCTCCTGAGTGGACTGATTAATTAACATGGATTGCCTGAACTAAGTCCAAGAAAGCTATGCCAAGGAGGAATCCTGTACTGTTTTTCCTAACTGAGGCTGGGTCAGACACATTATCTCAAGAACACAAAGGAAATCACAAAGCCAGGTATAAGACTGCCCTTTCAGAGCAATGAAGACATCCTTGATGCAGATCATGGGCCAAAGAACAGGAACTCAGGAAATGGGGATAAGGAAAACATAGAATATGAACGCTATCAAAACTAAGAATAGCTGTTTTGTCCGGAATTGATGTTTTACATGATTTCTACAGTTATGTTATTTCCTGTTCGATGAGAGATGATTCCAAAGTGTGGGCTTATATCCAAATCTCCAGTTCACTAAGGCCTAGAAGGGATCAGAAGTAAGTAAGGTTCCTTTCACAGGCTTTCCTAATAGTCAATAAAGTAAATTCTACAAAGTTTGATTTTTTCTTTTTCTTTTCTTTTCTTTTTTATTTTTATTTTTTTTATTTTTTTTTATTTTTTTCAAAGTTATTAAAAAAAAAAACCCAAACAACAGAAAACCAGCTTTTGACTATAAAAAAATCAACTGGTAACTTTTAGAAGTCATAATTAGATGCAGGAGATGATAATATTATTATTTAAGTTTCCTAGAACAGATGCCATGTATTATAATGGAGAAAGTTTGGGCAAGACTGCACTGCATCCGTTAGATTTTTCTACAGAATTGGCATGGGTTGGTATCCATTACACTCCACATAGCAACTCAGAATAAATTACTTAGTGGCTGCTGCAAACTCACTTGCTACTATGCTTTGGTAATAATGTCCATTCCTCCTTAGCAAAGGTGTTCAAGGTTAATTCTGACACTAAAGCTTCTTGAAGTTCCTCAGCTGTACTGTCTCTGCGCTATCCAGAATCATCAGCAATGTGGTACTCTGTGAAACACTTCCCCCCATCAATTTTTGCTCTCAAAAGTACTTTATGTACCCTACATCTCTGATTTTCTCAAAGATATGTTTCTTCTCCTCTGAAGCTCTATGGAAAGGGCTACATCCAGTGGAACTGAGTGAGGAGATACTGGGGTTGGTTACAGGTTAAGAGTATAATTCACATTTGAAAGACCTTAAGAAGTCTCTCCAGTTTAAGCTCCTGCACAAACCTAGCTCTGGTGTAAGGTCAGACCAGGTTGCTTCGGGTGAAATAAAGTACTTCCTTGAAAACCACCAAGGACAGAGCCTGCACAACCTCTCTGGTCAAGCTGCTCCACTGTCTGCCTGCCTTCATGGTGAAAAACAGTTTTCTGATATACAGTCTGAGCATTCACTGCCTCATCCTCCCAGCATGCACTGTTGTGAAGATCCTAGCGCCTCTCAGCTCCCTGTGGGCTGCTGTGCAGGCTCAACCTTCTACCAAGGTCAGAACAGCCCCTGTTCTTCTGGAGTTGGACTGGAGTTGAGTGCTCCAGTCACTGGAGGCCATCCCTTGAACTAAAGATGATGAAGCTTTGGTTGACTTCAGAGCTTTGATGACCTCAGAGATGGAGCTAGAAGAGTCTCATCAGTATAGTCCTACAATTAGATGCATTAGTTCTACCAAAGAACACAGTGAGTGCTGTACAGTGCCAAGTCTCTGGGATTCAAGCAAGGATTTCTCAAGGTATTGCATATACTGTATATATGGTATATGGCAATTCACTATAGGACAAAAATATGCATCTGTATTCAACAACTTAGTTCTTGAATAATATCACAACATCAATATACTTCTAAAGGAATATGAGAAACAATATCCTAAAGACATTTTTCAATGAATGTAGGAAACGTAGGAGACACATCAAATGACAAGATCTGTATCTCTCTTATCATCAATATACATTTTAAAGAGAATGAATGGAAGTATTTTTTATAATGCAACTTCTATCATTGCAGTTCCATCAGCTAGCCAGTACCTTAGAATGTGCTTATCAGCATGCAGTATATCATGCTAGGAAAAGAAAGAGGGAAAGCATTGAACAGGGGTGAAGAGAATCAAGTTCAGTAACCACGTGAGGAGTACTCAAAACACATTTAAGCAAAAAAGGGATTATGAATCAATGAAATCCAGTGTTACAAACATAGCCTGTATTAAAGTAAACGGCACAGTAGTATTTCAATAAATGCAGCATCTACAAGTGAGGATTCAAAGATAGGAAGCCACTCACAATGCCAGGAAGTACCTAGAGAAGTACTAGTCTAAACCAATTTGCTAGAGACAGAGGTCTGTCACAACATTCAGAGCTGAAATGTGCCAGCAAGCACTCACTAAGTGTATGTAAATGCACTTGCAACTTTTCTTGGCAGCTCAAGTCTGACTTCTGTCAAGAGCTTCAAGAGTGATGTCCAATCCAATTAATATATATTAAAATCTGGCGTATATGGTTAAGAAATAACAGTCACCCACTTCATTTTGGGATCAGTCTCTCGAGTCTTTTTAAGAAGGGATACTTTTACTTTACTCAGTTCCAACATTCACATTAATATCTTCATTAATCCATTCAATTAAGCAGAAACTAAGAGCTTAGTAAAGCCACCCTTTACCCAATATTCAAATATAATCACATAAAAGACAAAGTTGTTTCTAATTTAAACAGTCATCAAGAAACAGTTTGCTGGAGGTCTTGATGACACACTTCTTCCTGTAATCTTTAGATATATCATTGATTCCATTACCTACTGTCAACAGCAATAGACTCCTTATGCAATCTAGTTTTGAGACAGGGTAAGTCTCTGTCTTTTGGGTGATACCAAAGGGTCCACTCCGCTCACACTGAGCACTCCTTCACCTTTCCTTCTCTTGTCTCTCCTCTTCCCATGCCAGAAAAGGAACGATTTCTCCTTTTCCTGCTCAAATACGTAATCATCATTTCAGCCATCTGCTTCAATACAACAAACCCTTCATACAATCCCATCTAAATGCCAAATCATTGGAGATTAAGATGATTTATTTTAGTTCAGTGCAGTGTCACCAGTTTGAGTTTTAATAAAATAAAAAATAACTGAGGATTTGGGAAATACTATGGCTTATCTATGTAAAAATTCCCTCTCTTGCCAATATTCTCTATCGCTGCTGACAGACATTAGAACATTCCTTTCATCTCCTTCCTCTTCTTGCAGTTAAACCTATCCCCTTAAGGAGTATTTGCTTTCTCTAAGATAGATTATACATTGTATGCAACAAGAAAACCTTACACACTTTCTCTACCATCTGCGAGGCTTTTTTGCCCACTTCCTTAAGAAGAATTAATTCAAAACCCTTGTTACTCTTTCCATTTTGGATAAATAAACCAGGATTACATTTCTGTTAGAAACTGAAACAAAAGGATTACTATTTCCACATACACACATCTAAATTAGAGAAGTACTTCTCAATATGGTCAAACACGTTTCCAAACCTAGTGGGATCAAATGTGGAATGAAAACTGTGATAAAGAACAAATACAAAGTGCACACATACATACACACACACAAAACACCCCCTCTATTCATGCAGAAAATATGATCTAATGTGGGAATGATTTCATTCAAATAATTCTTTCGGCATCCCTGTAAGATTCCAGGATGTGCAAATTAAGATAAATTTTATGGGTCAAACTATTCTTACCACTACATGTGCTCAAGTCAACTGAAATTGATGACAACTGGATGCCGTGTCAGGGGATGGAATTTGGCTCGGACAGTCACAATGTAAGGAGAATATGTTATAAAAATAAAAATGGCATGGTGCTCCGAATGAGGAAGGAAACAATTCTTAACGTGGCTTGGGATATAGAGAAGCATAGAAAATTAGGAAAAGTTGGCCAAAGAGCTATTAGATTGTTAGATAAAGCTCAGTCATCAAAACAGAGCCAACCTCAAGCATCTGGATGAGGATTTGCCCGTGATGAACCTAACCCCATTTCACAACTCCAATGAGAGTAAAGCTAAACTAGTCAAAGTCCTGATCCACTTTAAAAAGATACTCCTATTTTACTTTCATATTCTTTGGAAATTCAAAGTAGCTATTTAAGACCTCATCACTGCAGATTTTTATGTCTAATTTCATTAAACAAAATACTGTGATCAAACCTCTGGTATGAACTTCCCTTTTCTTCGTTCTTTATTTTTAACAACAGAAATGTCCCTAAAAGACGTCTGTGTAACTTGCAAAATAGACCTAAATCAAAACCAGATACACATATTCATGCAGACGATTTAGCAGTAATATTTCTAGCAGTGGGAGTTAGCAAATATTATCAAATCCATGTTCAAATTGTATGACAACTGGCCGATGAAAACCAGAAGCTATTCTGACACACATTTTAACCAATTTTTCTGCTACTGGAATGAATATGAGTGCAAATGTCTTCCTGTTTAAACTTTTGTTCATTTGAGTGAAATGTGAAGATGTGTCATGTCCTCAGCTGAGTTCCAGAACTATTCAGGATGTCATGTAACATTTAATTTCAAGCTCCATTTAGAGAAAAGAATTAAACATCTAACCTGGAACAGCTATCCTCCCAGCTGTTGGGTGATCCATTTCCATCACAAGTCCATTGTGCAGCACCTATTAAAAAAAAAAAATATATATATATATATATATATATGCATGTGTGTGTAACAAAAAAATGATCAACTAGGTCCTAAATGCAAAAGTAAAAAGGACACATGTATTTCCATGTTCTTTTAGAGAATATAAAAAATCCAGGGAGCTACAGTTCATGTAATTTGCATAGCTTATAAAATGAAAGCCCTGATGTTTGACATTGTTCTCTATCTATGCATCTCAATAAAAACCTCAGTAAGACTTGACATGTCTAACATACCTTTGGGCTCCTGTATCCGACATCAAGCAGAAGCAATTGAGCTGAAAGCACATCACATTTTCCACCACTGACAGACAAACAATTCATAGCAACATGGAGAATTGAAACCTTCAACCACTTTCACTTTTGCTCTGCCATATGCATTACAAGCCTATACAGAGATGATGCTTTCTAGTTTTCTTTGCTCATGTTCAGGTGTCTTTGAGCTTATGATAGATCACGCTACATAATGCTGTCCCAATAGATCTTACAAACACTGGGGAAAGCCATCATAAATCTGATGTTAATTCTGTTCTGCTTAGAAGGCATAACAACCCTCTATCTGCATGGTATGATTATTCATCACAATTTCCAATTCCGCGTTATTAAACTCAACCAGAAAACAAAGGTATATCAAAACTCTCAAACAGAGGAAAAGCAATTCACAACAGAATTTTTTACTATTTAATGGAGATCTACCAGCGAAGTCAATAAGCAGTCTTTTTTGTTTCCTCACTTATTACTCTGACATCCTTCTAATGCTGTCACCTTAATCACGTAACTGGTATTTGTTTTTTAATATATGTGTCCTGTAGAGATAACCCTCCCACGAGCCAAACAGCTCTCTCGTGATTTTTAACTCTCTCGTGGTTTTTAAAAAGTAAAATATGTTTTGTTGTTCGTGTACATCAACTATATTATGTATGAAGGCTGCTTCAAAAATAAAATCCTGTTTTATTAGGTTGGTCCATGATATCAGAGGTAGATGGTAGTGGTACACCAGAAGTTGAACCTTCCTGCCAATATTCTGTTATGTGCTGCTGCTGTGTAACAAATGGCAGCAGAGGAGCAGTCTGACAAAACCACGTCTGACATGGAAGTGCATACAAAGAAATAGTATCATTAAATTCCTCCATGGGGAAAAAAAAAAATGAACACACTGACATTCATCTACTGTTGCTGATCTTTTATGGAGACCAAACAACGGATGTGAGCACAGTGAGATGGTAGGTGTTGCATTTCAGCAGTGGTGACAGTGGCAGTGGGTCATCTCCAATAGCGCAGACTTTTATGAGTGCAGCATGCAAGCTCTTGTTCATCACAGGCAAAAATGCATAGCTATCAGTAGTGACAATGTTGAAAAATAGTGTTTTGTAGATGGGAATTTGCTCAATCAAACAGTGCTACAGGGCTCTTTGTATCTATTGTAGTTTATATGGAAAAAAAATAGGAGACATTGTAACACAGGTTGCCAGCAGATTTCTTAGTCCATCAGAGCTGTCTGTACCCATGAGTGGTTTTTTTTTGTTTGTTTGTTTCTTTTTGTCACAATTTTTTTTTCCTCTCCAGTGCAAGTGTGGTTAATTGGACCCTGTAAGAGCTATCAGTGGGGAAAAGAAACCAGAAAGACACCTGAAATCAGATTGTACCTAATTCTTTATAAAGAGTTAATGCAACAATAGGATCAAGTATGTCATACATCTGATACGTTTATATCATACTTAAGTACACTGATTACATTATACTACTGTTCTAAAACTACTTAATCTTTTCCCAGAGCACAAACATTTTGAGGGAAGAAGAGGCCCTGAGAGCCTGATCCTGCAGGTCTTACACAGTTACAGTTTTCTGTTGAGCCGCTGCCATTAGCTGGCATTAAGAAAGAGTTTAAATACTTTTCTGAAGTATGCTCTACAAAAGAAAGAGCATAAAGGTTGAAATCCCACAGATTCCAGATGAACTTTTCCTTTATTCTCATCCTTTTCTTAAAAGTATGCCCAGGTAGGTACAGACACACTTCCCACACATTAGAACCTTGTTACTGTTACTCAGAATCCTGCTGAATTTCCTGCTGAAATTCACGTCTGGAGAACTGGAGAACGACATTCTTTTAGAATGCTGCTATTGTCTGCTAAAAATATATATACTTAAAGGAAAATATGTGAATTACTGATCCGCCCATTTTTTTTTGCTCAAAGCAACTATGCAAAGTTTCTTAAATGCAGTCTGTGTCTCTGAAGCTGAAATTTTCAGATAAACAAAATCTGTTTTGTTTAGTTGGTAGCATTATTACTTAATTAGTAGTAAAAGAGCAGGATCAAGGGACTTTTATTAAGAAAAATCAGCTAACAGCTGTATAAGGAATCAAGATGTTGCACACATGGTAGGATAAGGCAGCAGGAAAAAGGAAAAAAAAATGTCTGGAGAAGGCCATGGGGAGACCTCACCAACATAATAAACAGGAGGCATTACTATTGGAGCAGCCCTCCTATTACTGATATTGACTGTTCAGCTATACAGAAATGATTCCTAACATTCACTGCACAACCTATGTCCTTGTGCTTGAAAAAGGACACATTGAGTAATGCATCAAGCTAATAGAGACTCTGAAATTATTCTCAAGTTGTGCTAAAGGACAAAGCAAGATAAAACTTTTCTTGAGATTAGATTCTGTAATGCTCTTGGGAAGACAAGACCAGGAACTAACTAGAATGGTTGAAGAATGAGCTATTTGTGAAAGAATTTATGACCAGTCACTCAACAAAAGCTCAAATATAGAGCAGAAGCTTCTACGCAGGCATGGAAATACACCTAAAGCCTTAGGTTATTTCCAAGGCTTGTTTCTGACCTGGACAGGAAAAGCTGAAGTGAGCAGCAGGGTTCATCATTTTTACATTTCACATTTAAGGCCTGTTCTGGTGTCTCAGGGCTGGGGAAGGCCCATGGCACATTTCATCCCAGGGCAGTGTGAGGAAATTGGCTTTGCTTAGCTCCAAGAAGGCTCAGGGAGGGTCTGTCTCACATGGAAGCAAAGGTGTGTCACTGAAACCCTCCATACGGAAAAATTATACCCACTGACATTCATCAGTGCTTGCTGAGCCTTTATGGAGGCCAAATAGCGGATGTGAGCACAGAGAAGCAGTGTGTGGTGCATTTCAGCAGTGGTGACAGCGACAGTGGATCACCTCTGCTGGTGCAGATTCTTACAAGTGTGGCACGCAGGCTCTTGTTTATCATCAGCAGAAATGCATAGTTAATGGTGGCAACTGTACTGAAAAAGTGCTTAGCAGCTGAGAATTTGCTCTACTGAATGGCGTTATCATATTCTTTGTATCTATTGTAGTTTCCATGGAAATAAATGAGGCATTACTTTTGGAGCAACCAACGTATTTTATATGCAGCTCAAGACAACTCCTCTTCAATCAGCACAGCCCAGGCAAGCCAAAAGTTTGCACATCCATTACCAAATTCATCTACTTATTCACCTTGTAATGTGAACAGCATTAACATCCTCAACTACTACTGACAGGTGTAATAAAGACAGCATTCCTGAAAATTTCCAGTAAAGAAGATGACAGTTTTCTTATACAGGCTCTACCATATTCCCCTATTCTTACATTAGAAAATTTTCTCCTCTTACATAATCTAAATGTCTTTACTTCACATAAACATTTTCATTCTTGTCTTCTCAACTGGATACAGAAAACAAATCTCTAGCAGCTTTACAGCATTTTTTTTTTTACATACTGGAAGATCGTAATCCCATCCTCCCTCAGTGTGCTCTTTCCTAGACTAAACAAAACTAATTATTTTAACCATTCTTTTCAGGTCAGATTTTGTGAACCTTTTATCTGCGTAGAATAGCATGCTGAAGAAATTCCCATTCCTGAACAGGTGGTGTCAAAAGGTCAGGTCAGTTTTTTCTGAGCTCATGGGGTGAGAGTATTTAGATGACATTTAAAAATACAGGTATTTCCAACAAAAAATGCTGGTGGAAGAAAATCTGTTCACTGGTCTAATCATTTGGCAATGCATCAAATCATTAATTCTGCTAGACAGATAAGTGAGACATTCAGAATTCTTTTTCCAAATGAAAGATTGGGAAAATCTAACTAATCATTTTAACTCATACTTAGAATCTTTCCAGTTATGCCCTTAATCAAACAGCATTGAAAGTTTGGCTTTCTTTCTCTGTAACTTCTATAGGATTCCTTTATGCATGTTATTAATTATTTGTGATTCCAACGCAATGAAACGCACACATGAACTGGAAATCAATATTCATTCAAGGTGCATACTAGCTTCTTCATACAGTAAACTAAAGGCGGGGCCTACAAGTAACACCATTTGGTTAAGGAAGAACATGCAGGCTCTCCAGCAGCTAACTCAAGACTCAAAAAAAAATGCACGTTTTCCTGTTTGATGTCTCTAGATTCTTATTCTAACTTTGCAGACTTAAAATAATTTTAAAACATTTCTTTTTATGATGCACAAATTCCATTTCTTTCTTAAAATGCAACTAGTAAAAGCCTTCTGTATCTTTGAGAGTCTCCATTATTGACTTTTAAAAGGGACTGTTAAAGTTGAAATCAAACTTTCTTTCGCTTTTTATTACAAATATGGTTTTTCCTCAGATATAAAGCACTGAAGTTATCATTATTCATTACACTTCTATCTTCTACAGTTATTTAGCCTATAATAGTATACTTGGTTCTGCATTTTGTTTTGAAGAATTCAATGCTTATAACTTAATCCCCAATAAAGTTGGCAATACATTTGTTTTTCCACATCAGCAATAGAGTCTCAAAGAACTGTGTAACTTTCTGTTTCATATGTCCCATTGTTAAAATTCTCAACAAGAAACTGGGGGAAAAAAGCCACCACAAGACCAACCACTTAACCAACTCCTTCTGCTATACATTCTCAAAGCTGCAAAGGAAAGGTGTAAAACAAGATTACTACAATCTAACCCTTGAAAGAC